CATGCGCCTCAATGCACTCGCCATCAGAACAGTCCTTTTGGCATCGCCCAGAGTTTCTCAAACCGTGTTCTTTTGAAGTGTTCTTGGGAGTTCTGGGGACAGAAAGGCCTCTAATGGTGCCCAAGTCAGGGCTGGAGGGTGGGTGCTCTCCCAGCGGGTGTTCTCCTGGGACCGCCCTGGCTGCCCTCAGAGGATGAGCAGGTGCGCTGGTCATGGGGTGGGGTGGGGGGAATAGTCCTCAGTGTAACTTTCTCTGCCCCCCCCCCCCATCTTTGCAGTCTTCTAATTTCTTAAAACGCCTTCCCAAGAAGCCCCTGCGATTGCCCCGGGTCTTTTTAGGACGTCTCTCCAGACTGGCACTTTGGCAATCTCAAAAACTCGTCGCTATAACCTTCTGAGCTGACTTCGCTGCCTCGAGCTGAGCTGAGCAGTTCGTCTTTGTCTTGTCCAGCCAAGGTACTGCTGTGATCGGAGTGTGTGTGTGTGTGTGTGTGTGTGTGTGTGAAGGCCCTCTAATGAGCTTAAGTCAAGTCTGCGACGGATGATGGCAGAGACATATTGAAACACATTTTGTTCGGAATAAGCCCTTGCGTGTATCAACTGGGGCCCCACTTGCGAGACTTTTTGGCCGGCCCGAGTACACGCCGGCGGCTAGTTTGGGGAGATTACAATTTAGGCGGTAGGAAAAGGGTTTACAACTTCCCGTGGAAGAAAAGCAGTTGGCAGAGTGGTATTGCTCAGGGATTTAAATGCAGGGTTGGTTTGGTGTATGTGTGTGTGTGTGTTGGGGGCCCTTTATCAACCAAACAAGGTAAAAACCATTCTTCGCTGCTGGGCCACAGAAACAACAGCTGGTGGGTTTGACTGGGATTTGTTGTTGAGTTTGAAGGATAAATGACCATTCTGGGGATCTGTTGATCTAGGGTTGACGGGCACCTGGGGGTGAGCATGGTACAACTCTTGGAATACTCAAACCAACCTCAACTCCCTGCCATTGAGTCGACTCAAAGTCAGGGGCCCCATGGGCAGAGGAGAACTGTCCCTGTGAGTTTCCAATGCTATCCATCTTTATTGCAGCAGACAGCCTCATCTTTCTCCCTTGGAGTGGCTGGTGGGTTTGAACTGCTGACCCTGTGGTTAGCAG